AATGGAGAAGAATAGCGAGGCGCCGGCACAGGCAAGCGGGCTCGATATCTTGCACGCGACCAGCGCAGCTTTGATCCAAGCACTAAGAGAGGTGCTCTTGGACTCTGATTTTGAAAATGCCATGAAGGCATTAACATCGTGGATACCCATCAAAGATGAGGACTTGTTGATGAAGGTGGCCAAGGCGGAGTGGAAGACGCACCAGGGCAAGAAGAAGACCTAGCAAGCATGCTTGCCTTTTTGGTCTCTGTGACTACTTGTCCTTTGCCATGACTTTTGCTCTCCCCACAACACACCCTCGTCGGCCCTCTTTTTCTTTTTCTTTCTTTTTTTTAAACTTGGTCTTTACTTCATCTTGTCTTTTTTTTTTCTATTATCTTCGGCTTCTCTCTTTCTCCCTTTCCTGTCTAGTGTTTGGTCAGCGATATACCCCACCACGATGGTTTCAGTTATCCTAGATTTGTTCTCAACCATTCATACTTGTTGCCCTGTTTCATTATATTACATCTTCATTGTTATTATATCGATACCCTTCGTCAACGGCCACATTGGCCCATTCATGCCGCAACTCGGCATCGTTTGTTTCCTTTGTCTACGGGTGAGGCTGGGATGGCAGAAAAATTATCGGACGAACAGCACGCGGGGTACATGATGGGTGGCAACGCGATGGCTTCATGTTATATTTTTCACGGGGATGGGAGTCACGGTGAATGGTTTATTATACCCCGGGATATGGTTACTCTGTACATTTTGGCCTGGCAAGTAGGAGGCACAAGTAATCATAATGGTATCATATTGCGTCTTCACTGCATTGGTGCTCGTGTCTCTGGCCATGCATATCTGCAATCGGTATTTTGTGCTTGAACTAGAAGCACTAAGCACCTATCTATCACTTGTATTTTGCGCTTTGCGATTTCCCTAGTCTTTGCAGCCCATGACGGTCTAGACTAGGACTGCTGGCTATTTGATTCTTCAACTCATATTCTTACTTTATGTATACTTGATATTACATCAGTGCTCATACCCTATAGTGATTTCCAGTGTGCGCACCTCCATTTGTATCTGCAACCGGTATATCCATGCTCGCACTGGCAAATGCCAATTGCTCAAAAGGGGCATCCAAAAACAACACCTCAGCACTTGAAGTCGTCAGCCACGCCCACCCGAAGCAACAGCGCTCCCCCACCTCACGATCATTCCTGGGGTCGCCCATCCACCAGTGACCACCGTCCCGTGGCCACGGCATCATTACCCTACAGCCGCTCTCCTCTCGACCATAAAAGGCAAGCCAACTACCAGCCCAACAACCCCGGCTCCGTCCCCAGGAAACCCGTACGGACATTCATCCATCTAATTAATCTCTCTTATCAATCCCACGGTACTAGCCCAGCGTCGCATCCAATTTCCTGCGCGCCAACGGTCCCAACGTGTAAGCATAACGGCAGTTGGGCGCTCCCAAACTATTCACCCGTCCGGCACTGGTAATTAATCCCGGGGGCTATATTTAGCAGGCACCCCCCAGGCGCAAATCAGATGCCAAGAGCGCACTCATATTGCCTGGTGACCGGGGGCCCTGCAGGAAAAGCATGGTGTCTCAATTCGGAATGTTGTTTTTTCTTTTGGCGGGCGGGAACGGAGGGCTGTATGTATGTATGTCCTAGGACTATTTGCAACACGACGTTAAATGACACCCACTGGAGAAAAGTAAAAAAGAAAAGGGAAATTGAACTCGAGGTATTAATAGAACACAGCATGGGGAAGCGAGACAACGGGACGGGGACAGACAAGACAACCTCGTGGCGGGGACTGTTGGCCACGTCTAGCCGCAAGGGCTGGCTGCTTGATACATCACAATCGGCACGGGCGTTCCCTGTTGGTTTATACCAGTATGTCCGGCTCTACCGGCCGGGCTGTAGCCTGGCTGACGGACGTGACAGTTGGGCTTCAATTTTATAAATTGCAGGGGTGCGGGGGAAAGAGGGAATAACCAACAATTTCAATTGCGACAATGGTGTGGTGTTGAGCATGGAGAAAAAAAAAAAGCGCTCATCGGTTCAACACACCAAACTGGCTGGGTACCCCCGTTTCCATGGGCAAACAAAGTTGACAAACAACCAGACCGCATAGCATGACAGCATTGGAGGCTTGGAACACGCCCCCCCTCCCCTTCCCTGGCGCCAACATGAACCAGATACCACCAGACTGTCTGGTGCTGCCTCGTCCTCCACTCTGGCAATTGCGGGATTTGGAACATGGCTAAAATAAGCAACACGACCAGCACCCACGGCCCCAGAAAAGAAGAAAATAAAACAACCCGCCTGGCCAGTTTCTCACCACCCCTCCCCGCCTGGTTCGTTGCTGCCGCACCTCTTGTTTTTCCCGAATCCGTCCACCGGACGAGCCAATCAGCCAATCAGGTTTCCTCCAAGGTCGGCCTGCCGTCCAAAAGCGGATAAAATGGACGTACCCGAAGCAACGATAGACTCGGGCCACCATATCTACTGGCAAAAGTCGGTCGACTTGGCTGGCTCGGGGGCCTGAGACTCTTGATCCTTGTGGGATAGTGAGTGATACTACATAAGCTCCTGTCTCCCAGTTAGTCTATCCATGGCTCATCTGAAGAGCTTGGAACAGGGCATTTGAGTAGTCGTTTCAATTGCTGCCGGGTCGTGTTGGTGTCTAGCTTTGTCGGGAAGCTGTTGTCGTCGTCGTCGTCGTGGTAATGCTTCTTTTTCTCTCGTACGGGAGGCATTGTTTTGCTTCCTCCCCCGGCTCGAGTTTACCGACCGATATCTGGGATTGGGAGCCTGGATTGGGAACCTGGATTTTGGGCCTGCACATTCCTGTGCATGTGTACATACACCACTGTGCATGCACACCTGGCCGAATCTTGATTCCCTGTTGTTTCGTGGTCCCTGGGCCCAAGTGGGAGGCTTGCCGGGATTGGCGCACGTCTTCAACTTGCATACAGCAGCGTCCGTGTGTGGTCAACCGGCCGGGTACTGGTACTCCGTGTGCAGTCTGTCGCTCGTCGGCCACGACGGACCAGACACGTCAGCCGTAATAATGCAGCAGAATTGTGTCAAAATATGTCGGCCAGGTGTTGCAGTACGCGCCTACTGCCGGGCATGGCATTGCGCAGAGTACCTAGGTAGTAGCCTCCGGCGTCATCAGGGAGCCTCCCAGACAGCCTCCCCCAGTGGCACACGTAGGCGCGCATACATATTCACACGTCTGGACTGTCGATGCCGCCGTCCTTGTCGTCGGCGGTGGATGCTGGCGGTTGGGACTTTGATGCCCTTGATCCGTATTCTGATTAGCCCCAAACAGTGGCCGTCTCCGCGTCATACGCTGGCTTTCTCTGCCTTCGTCGATTCGATGCTCCGTCTACACTACTGGCCGCTCAAATCAGATCTTAATTTCTCTTGGTCGCACAACGCATGCACCCAACGTCTGCTGAATTTCGACTCGTTGCCGGGTTGGTCCTGTTTGTCTCGTTCGACTCTGCACTCTGTCGTCAGTGTGTTGTCAGTCAATACTGTTGGGAGCTGAAGTGCAGAACAGACCAATTCAATCCAATTCAAATCAACATCCCCGTCCGCACCCCTGCAGTGTGACAACCCCCCATGCGCCTTCATATTGCAGGACTGTTACCAGACCCTCGTCCCTCCCAAAACAGCCCACATTGTCCATGTTGAGAACGCCCATCAAAGAACTGGTAATCCAGCATGCAAGCTGCGCAGCTCGGCATCAGTTTCGTGCATATGGCTGAGGCCACTCTCATAGATAACCCCCTACACCGAGCAAGCCAATACACGCCCAAGTTCGCAACAGCGCTCCAGAGACAATCAATCCAGATTGATCATGATGTACATATATATGATGATGGTTTTGCCAAGTATATTTGTTCGTTACCGGACTTGCTAGCAGTCCTTCGTTATGATGCATATCCCCAAAATATCACTCAAACCCCCAAAAAAAAAAAAAAAATGAAAAAAGAGAGGGGCGTTGTTGCAAATGCCGCAAAGTTCCTGACTGACACATACATATACATGAATACAAATGCAAACATGTTTTGATGGCAGACAACCCCCTCGCTCCAAGCCTTGTAACTGACAAAAACCTGCACAATGACACGCCTGGTGCTGTGATTCCCAGGAACTTACAAAAATCTAGTGGCGGCGCCATGGCCATAGCCAGTCTCCAGATCCACAAAGGGGAGAAAAGAAAGGAAAGAGAAAAGAAAAAAAGCCTTCCCCGCAAATAAACACAAAAATCAACAAGAATTGTAGTAGTTGTGAACTTGAAAAAACAAACATCTGCATGATTTTTGTTTTCTGTCCCGCATGTCCCAGTTTCAAGAGCAATGGCAAGACAAAGTAAACATATGTTCGTGCTGTCGTCGCATGTACCCAATATACGCCGATGAGAAACCATCATCCATCTCCTAAAAAAGCGTTTCTTCCCCGGCTGGCGGTATTTTCATGAAATGAAATCGTATAGAAAAAAAAAGCCATTTCGCTATTAGCTCTGCTCAGAAGTCCTTGGTGGTGTTCTCTCGCGAGGCATCCCTTCTTCCTCGCGGCGCCGAGGCATGGGCCTCTCAGGCTCATGGGTCGGGTTAAATTGCGATCGTGAAGGCTCGTGTGTAAGCAACGTAGACACCGAATGCTTGCTGGAGTCCCCCCCATATCTCTCTTGAGAAAATTCTGGATGCCCATCTCGAGGTGGCGATACGGATCTCGGGCCACGTTCTGGGTCCTCCGAATGATGGTGATGATGATGGCTCGAGGGTCGATACCACGGCACATCACTCCTTTGACGTTTGTGGCCCCCTTTTCGACCCGGCGGAGGGTTCGACAAGCTGCTCTGTATAAATGGAGGCGGAGATCGGAGTCGCTGCTCGCCCGGCGTTCCTGATAGCTGTGGCCCCGTAGCCTTGCGTTTTTTGCTAGACTCTCCTGTCATGACGGAACCAAACAAAAAACACAAATGTTAGTTTACAGCGAGTCTCGCTTTCTCTTGGTTTTAGACGCACCAGACGGAGTTCCCGGTCTGTTGGAGCTTCCGCTCCCTGATTGCGTCGCAGGTGGCTGCCAATGATGAAAGTACAACCCTGGGCTCGACTCCTGTGGTGCCGGCTGTGTATGCATATGGGTCTGGGAGCCATACGGCGATACACCTGCGCCGCCGGGCTGGCTAGGCTGGGACGGATTCCCCCCAGCAGGTATACTTGATCGGCCTACAACTCCGCTCACTGTCTGCCCACGGGGTCTCGTAGGCGATCCAGGATAGGGACCGTAGGCTCCGGGGCCTGGAGGAGGTGCTGCACCTGGTCCGGGATATTGGCCCTGAGAAGCACCTTCTCTCTGGTGTGGATCGGGAGAATGCTGCCTCTGGGGCGGCAAAAGCTGCAACGGCTGACTCTGCACGGGCGAGAGAAACTGTTGAGCCCATTCTACCGCTGTTTGTGGCAATGTTCCGCCCGCGGCCATGCCAGCAAATACCAAGGGTATCATGGGTGGAGGGATGCCGCCTCGGAGGGAATCTCGCAGCATGTCCATTTCCACTCGTCGTTGCTCCAGCCGAAGACCCTCTTGCCTGGTTTTCTCCTCTTCTTGCTTAGTTTTCTCTTCCTCCGTTTTAGCCTGCAACCACGTTCTCATGGATTCCTCAGATCCGTGCCATTGCCCGGGGGGAGGTGGTAATGAGGTCCACGGCTGCGCTTGAGGGCCGCCTTGGCCAGCAGACAGAGGTGGCGGCGGCGGTTGTTGATGCCCGTGATGTTGAGGTGGTACGGCAGCTGATGGAGGAGCTTGCTGAGGAGGAAGTGCCATGGCCGCTGGAGGCGGCAGCCCACGGTGAGGTGCCGACATTGCTTGGCTACTCGGACTGTGGCTGCGAGAAACGACCTGATGATGTTTGTACGCGGCCTCCGAGTAACTCAGAGGCGGAGAAGGTCGAGATGTTGAGGGCGGAGTTGGCAAATCATGAACGGACCTATAGCCGTACGCGGGTGGCTGCTTCACAGTAAGCATCGTCGCTTATAACGACTATAGAAATGCCAAGAAACGTTGTGGAAGCATGGGCGTGCAAGCACGCTTCAAGAAACGAGCGGGCGATGGGTGGATGTATATAATTGGCGAGGAGGCGGAGGGTGATGGTGGTGGTGACAATGATGATAATGGATGTTATTTCCAGCTTGGGTAAAGATTATTGAAGGAGAGACAAGAAACCAAAATAAAAAAAGGTATTTGACTTGGGAAAAGGGGGCAAGAGGGAGCGAGGAATCTGGATAAGATGGAAAAGAAGTAGAAAGAGGTGAAGGCAGGAGGCGTACAGAAGTGGATATCGAGACTTTAAGCCAAAGTCTCGGGGCCCTAGCACTCAACACAAACACGCCAACACACATGAGCTAGAAAAGAATGCAGCCGGACGCAAGCTAGAGGTGTCGCCCAGCGCGAGGTCGGTCGAGGTCGAGGACAGCAACGGCCGAAGAGTGGGGGGGCAGAACATTGAACGTATGGGTCGGTGGACTAGGCGGGCCAACCTCATTAGGACATGGCTGAGGTTGAGTTGAAAGGTGGATGTGTGATGCGAGGAGAGCTGCCAGGTTCCCTTGGAAAAGAGTCTTCGTCTAACTAGGGGTGGCCTTATTCGGTATCTGGAGCAGTCTGCCCTCTGCGGCGCTGCCTGGATCGGGTCGACGAGGCACACGAGTACTCCGTGCACCAGCGAGGGCGACGGGGTGACGACGCGAGAGGCGCCCAAAGGGGACGAGGGCGAAAAAGACAGGCAATGGAAAGCCGGGTAGCCGGGGCGGACAGCGGACAGCGGATAGCGGACACACCAGACGGTCCTGGAGAGCTGGAGTGGAGAAGTCAACCGGTGTCTGCGAAGCTGGCAAAGCCTAGCGGCCCAGGCGAGAAGACAAAGCTGGGGGGGTTGTTGTTGTTGTTGCAGGGCAGAGGGGTGTGTGCTGTGTGTGTATGTAGTTATTGTTCTACCTGGGCAGACGGCGTGCAACAGGGTGGTGTATGGTGGGTGTGGCGTTGGACCGGGGGGCCAGATGGCAAAAGAGAGCTTGAGGCGAGGCGAGGCGCCCCGAAGCAAAATAGGATCAATTGACGTGCACACGGGGAACCAAGTGCTGAGGGCGCATGTACATACGAGGAATCGCTGCGCGTGTTATGTGTACAATAACAAAGAACGAATCAGCTTTGATTTGAGGCTGTGGATGGTGGAAGCTCTCCCGCAAAAAAAAGAAAGAAAGAAAGACGACGACGACGACGACGACGAAGGAGAAGAAGAAGAAGAAGAAGAATCTCGGCGTCAAAATACAATGCAACTAACACAAACAACGAGAGTTGGTAGCCCTCTAGTTGGGAAAGGACAGGGGGGCGGAGAAAAAAGGAAAAAAATCGATCCTTCTTGGCCCAGAAAGGACGTCTGGAAACGAGGATTTTCCACGTCGGACTAACAAAGGGGGCAAACAATGGGCAGAACGAGCGAACAGCTTTTTAGCAAGTTGCGTCGAATGGTTAGCCAGAGTCGTGTATAAGCAAACGGAGAGGCTATGGGATTGGGCGACGGAGCTTTGGACAGCTATGTACTGCGCACGTATCGGTATTCAATGTTGGGGACAGCGGGACGGAGACCCAGTATCAACTTTTGGATGGGCGAGCTTGGCTGGGCTGAGATGCAACGGGGATCGATGGCACACAGGCTTGGGTTGTGGTCCTTGGTCCTTGATGCTTGGGCGTCAAGGCCCAAGACGAATCGACGAGATGAAGAGGGGGGAAAGGGAAGGAATAGGCACGATTGACGGGGGGCGACGGGGATCCAGTCTGTAGCTAACGCGAGAGCAAGGCCAAAAGGAAATGAAATGGAGCACCAGGGCCAGAGGACGTAGCTGGGAGCTCGAGTACTCGAAATAAAAAAAGGAAGAGGTTGACTGGAATTACAAGGGGAAAGAAATCAAGACGCGGATGGTAGTGAATACGAAGAGGGAAAGAGCAGCGAGGGGCGTCACGTACAGCAAACATTTGAGCGAGTTTGGACTGGAAATGGCCCCCCTCTTGTCTCTGGCATCGACAGTACCGACATTGGCATCGGCATCGGCATCGGTATCGACGCCGACTGCGGCGCTGACGGTTACGATTCTGGCGTCTTTGCAAGCAGGGCTCAAACGTCAAGTGCTTGGTCTCAGCTGTCCCAGGAGGTGTTTACTGGATGGGAGCGAATGGCCATTGAAAAGCGACTAAAAGAAGCTGCAGCACACGGCTCCGTGGGTCACGAATGTGGACTATCACGGCCATAACTGCAGCAGACGGTGGTATTTTAACAGACCCAGAGAGGTGGCATCATATGTGAGGTACATACAAAATCTTCTTCAAATTATCAGGACAAGAGTCATCAAGACGCTTGAACCATGAGACCCGGTATGCTTGGAACTTGGTCTTGGTGTGTCGTGCAACCGCAGGGTTCCAGCTCGAGCTTCCAGCCATCTGCTCCCACGTCCCTGCGGCGTTTGTAATACATGAATGGATTGGGACACGGCAGCAAAAAGCTGGCTTGCTTCAGATGTCGCGCTTGACCTCACCGGGTTGATCCGTGCTCCCTACTTAGCAGGTATGGTATGGACACACTCAGTTTTGTCCTCCAGTGCTGTCTCTTGAGCCTTGCCCCCCCGTCCGGCAATGTTGTATGTATGTATCGTACGCTTGGGTTCGCCTCTGCATGCTTCGGCATTGATCATTGGTCTCTGTGCCAGACACAGCCTGACTAGCATCGAGGTCCGCCGTGGGCTTCGTTCTGGGATTGGGATTGAGTGGCATCGAGCCTGGGTTTTGGTTGCTGTCTCATGTATTGCTTCCTTGTTGTATAAGCATATTGGATTATGGAGGGGACAGACAAGTAAAATCCCTTTGGTCGTGTGCGTGCTCCAGTCGTTCGTCTGTGTCATGGAGCTTCATTGACAGCCAGGGGATCGATGGAGGAGCCAACAATGCATGAGACCCAATAAACTGCTCGGTAGAAGCATCTGTATGTATGTATGGCTCCTGGACAAGCTCCATGATATCTCGGGTCGCATTTTGGTCCTGACCAGCCCTGCTGCTATGTTAGCGTCCGGCATGTTTCCAGTGGAAGAAAGCCCCTACCATGCAGGAGTGTTCAACGGCGCAGTGCAAGGGCTTTAGCGCCATCTTGCCATGCGGGTAGTGACCTAGGATACCGTACGAGAAGAGTCGAAATTTTTGCTAGACCTGGCAACGGCAGGCAGGCCATGTTGGTCTAAATTTAAGCCGGCACCCAAATCCCTGCTGTTCACGTACCAGAGACGGGAGAATAACGGATTGAGCATTCGCACTCGTGGCCGACCTCCATTGTTCGACCCGCCAACCCAACCAGTTAGCTTAGCCATTCGGCTGTCTGCCCGAGAACGGGTACTCTGACGGCACCGCAGGTCACATGTTGCAGTGGGCGTCGGTGCGGCAGGAGCCAACTTGGAAGGTGCGGCTGTCTCGACTCGTCCTTGTCTACTATACTTGGATGCTTGCTTCACACTTGAAGCATCAACGACCCAGGTTCTTCTCCATCATCCGCCGCTGGCATCCTGTTGTCTCCTCGATACTCTCCCCAACCCCATGCCAAGGCAAGCACCTACAACATCCACTCACACTGGCACAGATGTCATATTGCGGTCATGTTGGGGCCATGCAGAGAGGTCTCAACCAACCCCCTCCCCCCCAATCGCCCGATTTGCGGCAAAAAACATCACAACGGCATCTATACAGGACTCGCCTATCCAGCTCGTATTCCCATCTCCACATGTTCAATTGCAGTCGATATATCCACTCACAGCAACTGACGTGCACGGAAACGTGCCAACACATCAGGTTGAGGCAGCTTCTTTTCTTACAATTTACATTTACTCAATATTTTCCCCGTCTGGCCCCTGCACCTGCTACCGGTTCGAGGCAAAAGAAAGAAAGGAAAAAAAGCGCCGCCTCGGCACCTGGCCCTCTGTCGCCACTATTACTACTGCCAAGCACCTTGCACCGATGACGGCGGGGGTCAAAAGCCTGGAAGGGAAACCCTGGTAAACCAAGCCTGGGCCCTGCCAGGGAACAAGCAAGCCGTGAGGAGATTAGTCGTTGATAAAGATGGCCCACAGACATCGTTTATGTAAACGCTGACCGTCTTGCCCAGAGACGACCGTGGCTGACGACGCAGGTGTCATGGCATGGCATGCATGGCCCATCTGGGTTTCCCATGTGCTTGGCGAACTCGGTGGCTGCACGCCCGGAGTCGAGCGTTGACGATGTGCCTCACGGACACCTGCGTCACTTGTGTCGGAGACAAACAATCCACTCCGCGTTTAATATTTACCGTCGCCATCGACGTACGCGCCACCTTGAGGCGTGTGCCTTTTGCAGCAATATTTAGTGGATCTTGTACATGTTGCGTTGTGGTGGCTTCTTTCGGGTGCGTATCCATTATGCCCGTCGATGTTGGCGCACCAGATAGTGCCGCCATGATGACAAAAGTACACATTTTCCCGCCTCTCCAACTTACCGGCAGTGTGGCACCGTACAATTTAGTGCAGCATTGGCACAAAGGATCCTGCCATTATCAGCTATTCCGTCCTATATTAAGCCAACCTGCGCGCCATCCAAACATGGTGGTTCTCCTGCTGCCAGTCTGGTAAAACCAATATCTTCCGACAGTTCCATCAGTGGCAGAAGTGGCAAAGAACCTACAAAGAAATGGCGGTCTAAAGCAGTCTGTTCTTGGCTCTCGATCGTGGTCGTGGCAACAAAACCGTCTGGCGTACACTCGGTGCTGCACCATTCATAAAGTCAAGGTCCCCAAGAGGGCCATCATCCACAACAAAGCAGGATCGTATCTCAGGCCAACCACCTCCATTCGTCCGCCCGCAGTGCTCTGGACTGCATTGGAACCCGTAGTTGCATATCCTACCGTCGGTAATTGGTTGTGCTCAAGAACAACTATCTTGTCTGAGCTTTTGCCGTGT